CTGGGAGTGTTTGCCCTGGGCTTCCAATTAGAAGAGATGTTGGGAACCCAGCACATAGAAGCAATTAAAGTGAATAAAGAAGATGACCAGCCATGGGATTAGACCATTATCTTAGACCAGTGGTTTTCAAACTTTTTTTTCTCATGATCCAGTTGAAGAAAATTGTTGATGCCTGAGACTCAACATAATTTGACCAGAGTGTGGGTTCCAGAGTAGGCCTGAGGATGAGAGTTCTGGAGTGTAGCTCCAGCTTTGGGGGGCAGGGCAGTCAGGGCTGGGGCAGGAGGGGCTTACTTAGAGCAACTCCTGGTCAGCAAAGCAGTGGTGGGTGCTAAACCAGCTTCTTGCCTGTCCTGGCACTGCAGAACATGCTGTGCCCCAGAAGCAGACAGCAGCAAGTTCCCAGCCAATGGGAGTATGGAGCTAGTACTCAGGGCAGAGGCAGTGTGTGGAGCCCTGTGCACTCCCTTCCCCCTTCCTCCCTGCCCATCTACGAGATGGGCCTGCTGCCAGCCGCTTCTGAGGCAAAGCACAGTCTGCGGTGCCAGGTCAGGCTGGTACTCTGCCTTAGCACCCCCACTGGTCACCTGATCACCTTGCAGCAATGAGACCCAGTACCTGACATTCCACTCCCAGTCCTGGGACACAATGCATAGAATAGTTAAGAACTGGCTAACAGATCTATGAGCCATTAGAGATGACCTTGACAAAGCCCTGACTGGGATGATTTAATTAGAATTGGTACTGCTTTTAACAGGGGGTTAGACTCGATGACCTCCTGAGAGATCTTTCAACCCTATGATTTTATGATCTGTGGTGTATCGAAGTTGACAGGGGTTCTGTGCCATTAGCAGTTAATTTACTGGGTGTAGTAAGCACCTGCTAAATCAAACCCCAGGAGACTGATCTCTGCAGCACTGGATCTCCCAGTAAGTGGAGACAAGTCCTCAGTTTATGAGCATTAGAAGAAAATAAGGTAACAAGTTTTGACAAAAACAAATCATGTCAAAT